CTCTAGGGCTGGGGCTATGACTTGGCTCAAGCGGGAATCGGCTTCCGAAGAAGCCATTCCCGAGTTGCGGATAGCTCAGTGACTCAGTGAACCAGATCTGGAACTGAAAATGGGAAATTAAGAGGTATGATCGCTCTTTATCTTCCCTGTATAGCTCGTCGGTTATTTGATCGAGTAATAATGGCGAGTTGACTCGCTGAGTCGGGTGCAGTGGTGCACATAACAGATGAAAGTGGAGAGTCGAAGATACAGAGACGAGTAGTATACAAGGAACAGGCGAGTGAGCTCCTAAGGAGAAGTCGAAGAGATGGGCAGAGATTTAGATCCCGTTTTGGGTTTCTTTTTTCATCCAGCTATCCAAGTCGAAAGTTTCGAATGTTATATGACCGAAATACCCTCTCCGTACTTCGGTCATTTTGCAGTGAAAAGTATGTGGATTGAATTGTAATATCCGGAAGTGAGTAAGGGTAAATTAGACATTAGGATGCTACCTTTTTCCGCCGGGACGCGGTCGGGGCCTTGCTTCCCCGCTCCTTACAGATTGTTCGTTTTTCAACCTTTTCTTTTATCTCCTTTTTTTTTTTTTAATAATTTCCATTGTCAAAATAAATTAAATTGAAACTACATAAATTTAAAAAAATAAATAAGACATTTTATGACTTAAGTCGAGAATATTAATCTCACAATATCAATTTTTTTTTACTCTTACCACTTAAACACCACCCCCTATGATTTAAATCACACAATAATTTCACTTTTTCAAAATTTTAATAGAGAACTCGTGGGGGATAAGAAATTTTTCATACATAAATAAATAAATACCCAATTAGAATTTTCAATATATTTAATAATTTTTCATAATTTTTAGCTAATTACCAAAAAAGAAAATTTAACTAAAAGAACAAAAGCCCAAGTCCGTCAACTTCGACACATTTATCCAACTCCAAAATTTAAAGCCCAAAACCACAAGCTAAAATTAGCTGGAGCCATGTCCATCATCTCCTGTCAGAGACTATCACTTCCTCCTCATTCTGTAGCACGCCGAAAGAAATCTTCATCTCCATTTCTATCTTCTTCTTTCTCCTCCAGCTGCTAGTCATTTCCTTTCAATCTGGTGCCATTCTCCTCCACTCTTTTCTCATATGGTTCGTCATCTCTGTCACTAAAGGAGAGGAATCTCCCGGGCTTTCCCTTCTGTAGGCTACTTGCAGAGGTAAAGTTTTCCTTCGACCATCTTGATAAGTGATCCTTGGGTTTCCTTTGTTTGGGTTTTCAGTTTGCTGTTGACTTCCAAATCGTTGATTTATTTTAACAAAAAATTTACTGAAGAGGTCTTTCTATTGCATTGCAAATTGAACATCTTATAGGCTTTTGGTTATGAAGAAATATGTTATGCAACTACACTTGAGTATCTTCTTAGATTTTAGGCATGTATCAAACGTTGTGTACACGATATTTACTGGTGTTGAGGAGTTTTCCGATGCGTTTTGCTCACAAGATGCTTCCCGTTCAAGCTCTTTCTCTGTTTTTGTATATTTTCGTTTAGGTATACGCATGTGTTTATCTGTATCTATGCTTTACTCCGTTTCGTCCGTTCACCTGTTTATTTCACTGACTGTGTAAATGGATTCTAAACTCTGAAACATACCTGGATTCACTCTCGATCCAATGAGGTGCAGATATGTTAGATATTGCTTGTATTTCAAAATTGTTATGGTGTAACTTTAATATTACATTTTAATAGTTTGAGCATTATTTTTCTTTAGGTTCTAAACATGTTCAATTTTAGTATCCAAATTGTAATTGTTGACAATCTCTTAAAGAATGTAGTTGCTTAGTCTTTGTGTTGTCAACAAGAGACTATTTCTTATTGCATCTAATCCGAAGGTGAGCTTATTCAATGTTTCATAGAAATTGCACCCTGCATCTACTCTGAAAGTGAACATATTCAATGTTCCATTAAAGTTGCATCACGGATCTAATCTAAAGCGAATTTATTCAATGTTTCATAGAAATTGCATTCTGTTTAATTGGCTAGCAGCAGATTAAGACAAATCTTGGGCATGTTATTTTTGATAGAAGATGATTTTATTTAATTCCAGTTCAACTTTTGAAGATTATGTTTATCATGCACATTTAGTTTATTTTAGGAGATAGAACAAAATAGAGGCTTGGATCTAAGATTTGAAAAATGGGACAATCTATAGGCACATTATTGCATATGGGGTGTTTATAGGACTGTTTGGTCCTTAGTTCATATGCAGTGATTTCACACTTTGTATACTATGGTTACAAGTAAATTAGTTTGCAATGCCATTCTGCTTTCTATTTCGCTCTTTTTATTAATTATTTTCTCTGTATATTCAATTTGTTCCGTTTTGCTAAATTCTCTGATTATCTTAAAGCTTTTCATTTAAGCATTGCAGCTTCTAAGAGAAAAGAACTGGAAGTTGGTCAAGAATTTTGGAATTTTGCTTCAGTTATCATGGCTACATTTAACTGTAACATGATTTCTTCCACATATATAACATACCCACCAATCAATGAAAATAAAGTTCTTATTACTGCCTTTCTCGGGGAAATTCATTATTTCAGCTACGTGCAAAATTTGGCAATAGTAAGTTCCCTTGTCAGGCAACATTGCCTGTTTCTAATCTAGAGGAGAGAGGAAGAAAAAAAATAGATGAACAAGAGCTGAAGTTTAAGTGGGTGGAAGTTTGCCCTGATGCTACAGAAGACAGAAACAGGCCATATCTCAACTTCCCTTCAAGATGTCAAACGATGCAAGGCACTTATGAGCAGATATATGCTTTTCTCCCAAAATGCAGTTCTCAGATTATTGCTGCTTGGGTGAGATTATGAAGCCTACAGAGCTGACTGGCTTTTGGTTATTAAAGAATTGAAGAATTGGGAACATCCATTATTTCTCGAGGTACTTCATTTCTTTTTCTAATTTTCAATCTTTCCTATATATTTGCCATTGGGCATTATGTTCATTGTTTCTCTGTAGCTTCCTGGGAGTATTCGTAACTAGATTTTTATAGAAGTTATAATTCTTATTTAAGAATCTTAATTTAATTAAGAATCTAAATTTAATTAGAAATACGCTACTAAAACATTGGAAATGCTATACTATTTAAAAATCCAATATTAATGAAAAATCATATGTTATTTAGGAATTTAATACTAATTAGGATTCTATGTTTACTATTTAGAAATCTAATACTAATTATGATTTCATATTTAATTAAACTTCAACCTCTTATTTAAACCTTATAAATGCATCCATAACATTACTCTCCCCTGGTTTTCAAGCTTGAAATGTAGATGTAACTGCCTTATCGGTCTTTTCTGGTAGCTCTGGACCAGTGTTGCATTTAATCTTGAGGCAAAACAACTATTTATATTGGTAACCCTAAACAAATGGCTCATCGCAGTTATAACACAACTCATATAGTTTCCTTTCTGTCATTTATATTCTTGTTAATTTTTTTTATAAATGGAGATGAAGCATTACCAGATTGTGTCGTAATGGTGCTACCTTGTGGAGTCGTTTTTTGAATCGAATTGTTAGGCTAGGTCACGGACTGAGAATTGTCACTGTAGTTGTGTTTGGTCATATCTCACAATGGTTGTTTCCTTTCAAAAGTTCTGGACATACTCAATGCATGAATAAGAGTGGTGGGTGATTACGTCTCGATCTCTAACCAGAGGGAATCCATCAATTCTGCTGTGAACAAACTTACATGCTGGTAAACCTAAGCGAACTTGTTTGTTCTTGCTAGTTTTTCTTGAAACTGTCTCTGATAGTTCGTAACGGATCTTTTATGTTTTAAGTTTTCCAGTTCCCCCAACGGGTTACTTCCGACTGGCAACCCAAACCTCAGAGAACAATGGTTTTTGAATTCAGTACAGTTAAGTGTAGGTTATTCAGATTTTAAGTGGTGGTACCATAGTTGCACCCCTCCAAGCATATGAAAGGAAGCCAATCCCACCTTATCCCTTTCCAGTGTGTGTTGGTTGGTGAAAAACTTCTTAGATCGATGCAATCATATTAGAGGATCTTCAAAGTTATCAAACATTGGAAAGCCTAACTTGGTGTAGTGGGGGATGACTTCGTTACCTGGAGAGTTGTTTGCATTTCACAATTGACTTCCAATGTGAAACACTTGAGGTGATTGTTATCAAACATTGGAAAGCCTAACTTGGTGTAGTGGGGGATGACTTCGTTACCTGGAGAGTTGTTTGCATTTCACAATTGACTTCCAATGTGAAACACTTGAGGTGATTGTTCCTAGAAGTGGTTGCTGCTTGTAGTCCCTTCTGATTTTGTTCGTCTGTCACGATTAAAGCTGGTCAGTATCTCTTTGAATTGCGATGATAACTCCTGCAACTGACTGTCCAATCGTTTTTCAATCTCTGTAGTCCGTGTATCGTTTGCGGCCACAGCTTCCTGAAACATCAATCGCATATCTTTTTTTATTGCAAAGTCACACAATGTATTAGCCTTTGATACCAATTTGTTATGTTTACAAGAGCAGGATCTTGTCATTATGTGGTTATCTAGAATTTTCAATTACAGAATATGCTTTTTTTACTTGTTGTAATTTTTTAAACAACCTATTTTGTGAAAATAGATTACATCTCATCAAAAGAAGCTGTTATCTTGGATTTCGTTAGAGAGAACTCCAATTCCGTATTTTAAAATAATATTCTTAGTTATCTTTATTAATAGCAAGCATACCCCTTTATATATAGGTTACAATTCTTATTTAGGAATTTTAAGTTATTAAAAATCTAAATCTAATTAGAAATATTGTAATAAAATATTAGAAATCTTATACTATTTAGATCTATATTATGAAAATCTATACTATTTAAGA